CCCACCCACCCATCCATCCATCCATCTATCCATCCATCCATCCATCTATCCACCTACCCATCTATCCATTTTTTATAGCTCTCCATCCATCCTATGATAATGATTCTCAACTGGAGATCACTTTGTCCCTTAAGGAAAATCTTTCTCTCCATACCTGGAGAGGTGTTTTCTTCCAGTGGGTAGAAGCTGGCCCTGGCCCCTTGGAGGTGGAGCCCAGAGATGCTGCTACACACCCTAGAACAGACAGCCCAGTGCCCCCGAGAACCCTCTGGCCTCATTTGCCCACAGGGCTGAGAACTGTATAGGAGACACCATGTTTCTATCTACCCATCTATCACCTATCTATGTGTGTCCCAATGAGTCTACCTGTGCCTCTTCTATTTTGCTGTCACCCATTAGTTTGGTATGTGTCTATCACATTGCACATTTAGGCATGCGCTTCTCAGTTCCGGGATGCTGCCCTTCCTCGGGAGACCCTTGGCCATGCCTGGAGACGCATTCATTCCCGCCCTGGTGGGAAACTTGTTCCTGAATTCTCTGGGGTGGAGACCGACCGGGACCTCTGCGCTCTCTTCTGCCTGACCCAGGGAATCATCCACAGGTATAGCGCTGAAAGAGAGGTGCAGAAAACCTGGTTGGATCTGAGAGCCCCAAGGCCAGCGTCCCTTTAAGAAGAGCTGCAAAACCTAGAAAGGACAGCAGAGTACAGGGACAAGGGCATGTGGCAAATACCAAGGGCACTGCAGGCAGGAAAAGCCAGCATGTGGGGTCTGTCATCTTAGCAACCCAGACAGTAGAGCATTTTGCAGTGGGGCCCAAGTCCATGCTCCCAGGTCTCCTTGGAAAATTCCGTCTCAACTTTCTGGAGCCTTCTCCATGGCTGCCTGGTGCTGTGGGCTTTGAACAATCAAAGCCAAACACCACATCCATCATTTTCCCTGGAATCTCTACCAGCCCAGCCTGCTGACCTCACCATGCTGCAAATGACAGCACCAGGAACTGGTGTGAGAGAGAGCCCCTGCAGGCCCCAGAGAGGTCGTAAATCAGCATCTCCATGGCTTCGTTCTTACTAAACCCTGACCAAACGCACTTGGAGCGGAATGTAGTAAAGCAGCCAACGGGAGTTTTATGTGTGTCAGCATTATTTAAATCACAGAAGCGCATCGGGATCGTTGGAACTTCCCCTTTGGAAGCCAGCTCCGTCTCGATGTGTGGTAGGAGTGCGAGTATGTTTAGGATTTGCTGAGTTGATTCTGAATTAACGAGGGCTACGGATCACTGCTCCAGCAGCTTTCTGGGCAGAGGCTTGTTGTGCACTTCCAAGACGAGTTAAGATATCTGCACTCTCTGATCCTACCCAGTGGCTCACCAAGGTTTTGGCTTGATTCTCAGTTTACAGTGGGCCCTTAACTTACAAACTCAATCCATTCCCAAGGGCTGGTTGTAACTCAAGTTGGTCAGTGAAAGCTCAGCCCCTCCACAGCCTTCAGAGTCTCTCTCCTGCCCACAGGCAGAGCTCAGGGTCCTTAGAGAGACCCTGGCCCAGGATTTCTCAGTGAACCCCACACGGGGGAGGACACTGTCCTGTTCCTTCCAGAGCTCTTTAGAGTTCAGTCTGCATCTGAGACCATCTGGAAGCACGAGGGGCTGGCATTCGGGTTGTAACTCAAGACTTTGGTCCTAAGTTACAACTAAAATTGGGGTCATAGCCCAAGTTGTGTGTGTGTGTGTGTGTCAGGCTGGTCGTAACTCGGGGGTCCACTATATCTGGGCAGTATCAGTAGCTGCTTTTATTAGTGATGACTAATTTGAGTTAGTAATTAGTAATGACCAGGTTGAGTCTAATCACTGGCCGCTTTTGTATGGATATACAGATAGGATACATATAATCTATAACAGCTCTGGACCCACCATGAGAATAATGCTGTATCAGCCAGGGACCGTGTGGAAGCGTGAGATGCTAGCACTCTGGGAGGCTGAGGCAGGAGGGTCACAAGGTGCAGCCCAGCCTGAGCTACTTAACGAGGTAACAAGACCCTGTCTCAAAAAAATAAAATCTTGTTTTAAAAATGGAGAAGGAGGGTGATATAGTACAATCCCCAGTTGAACCCTAAATATCACTATATTTAGAAAATATTAAAGGACTAAAACACAGACTCTCACCTCCTGCCATTCCACACTGATAACGTCCCTGCAACTGAGATCTCCATATGGAAAACCTTAGCAACGGAAGCTTCCAAATCTTGTCACCGGGTTCTTCAAAATATCAGTCCTGAAAGTCTGCAGAATGCCCCAGCATATATTAAAAATATCACATGCACAAGGAAGGCCTTTCAAAGAAGTCCTCCTTTCCCCATTCCAATGCCCAGTTGTTAAGCTGGAAAAACACAATTCCTCAGCCTAGTCCCACAGCGGCTGGGTTTTCCCGTGGCGGTGGGCTGGGAAGCTTTTGGCTCTGACCCGGTGGAGTGAGAACCTCCACCTCCCTTCCGGAGTAGAAGGGATTATGGCCAGGTTGGAAGGTGCCAGCATGCCTGTTATTTGTCACCCTTGACATTTTTCAAAGCCACCCACTCTGGGAACCAAGACGGTAGCATTTCATCTGATTTTGTCATTACAAAAGCTGAACACCGTGATGGAAAATAGTTGAACACACACACACACACACACACACACACACACACACACACGTGAACAGGGCTGAAACCGTCCGTTGTATTTCATTTCGCTGAAGCAATGGCCAGGCCAGGGTAAGGGAGTTCTTGTTTGTGGTACGTTATTTTCGCATTTGCACGCAGTCCTCCCTGCCCAAAGCCCAGTGGGCATTTTGTGCCAGTGGACACTGGCACAGACTTTCCCAGACTGGGCCCTTTCCTCCAGGTTTCTGAAGTCATTGCTGAAGAGACGTGTGTCTCTTCCCTTCCTTGTGTCTGGCTCATCACCTCCCCTGGCGACCCTGCTTTTATGGACTGGTGTTTCCTGTCTTTGCATCTCGGGCTGGCTCAGGGTTTTGTTCCTCAGTTGAAAAGCCAACCCCTCCATTTGACGATCTTTAGGATTGCTTTCCTAGAAGCTCGGAGGCACAGAGTGAGACAGAAACTAGGGTGCAATCGGGGGACGTGTCGGAAGTTACAGGTAGGACAGAAGCATTCATGGGTGCTGTTCCTCAGCAGGGTGACTGTAGATAGTCATAGTGCCACGCACACTTCAGAAAACCAGAAGAAGCGGGGCGTGATGGTGCAGAATCCCAGCACTCGGGAGGCTGAGGCAGGAGGATCTCCACGAGTTCAAGGCCAGCCTGGGCCACATCTGTCTTTAAAATCACAACAAAATAGCAAAGCAAAGCAAAACAGGTAGAAGAAAGGATCTTGAGTATTCAAAACAAATCAATGATTATTGGATAAGGAGATAGCTAGGCTTACCCTGATTTGATCATTCCATATCATATCCTGATCTGATCACGAAATGTATCAAGTGTATCGAAACATCACCTCATAAATCTCTACAATTTTTATAGGTCCAACAAAAATTTTAAAAGCGCGGTCACATTTTTCAATTTTATTTTTGATACATACATACCAATCCCCCCCCCCTTTATTGGGTGCCGGGAATCGAACTCAGGACTTTGCACTTGCCAGGCAGGTGTGACCCCAGTGAGCCGCATGCCCAGCCCAACAATTGCCCGTTTTACTGCTTAATTGTTCAGCACTGGAACAGCCTAGCTGACGGATCCCATCCCGAAGCAGCCCAGCAGAACTGAGGCATCCGGTTTCATTGCTAATCGATTGACTCAGGAGGGCGGCAGGGCTGTGTGTGTGGACAGCGAGAGTCACTGAGTGCTTGAAAACACGCACGCTGATCAAATCAGGGGAACTGGTGGCTCCTCGTCCTCCAGGTTCACCTCTGTCTGCTGGAAACCCTCAACAGCCTCGGCTGCAGCTCGGTGAACACACCCAGCCCTGCACACGGTTCCCAAGCTCGTTCCTCCAGCCAAAAACCACATTTCCTTTTCCATCCCCAGGACCTGAACTCAGGGCACAGGGGAGCCTCAGAGCTGACCGCTGTTTTCCTTCTCTCCAGCTTTGACAGCAGAGCCAGGGCCTTCAGCAACGGGACCCTGGTCGTGAAATCCGTGACCGACAAAGACGCTGGCGAGTATCTGTGTGTGGCCAGGAACAAGGTGGGCGACGACCACGCGGTCCTCGAGGTCAACGTGGTGATGAAACCCGCCAAGATCGAGCGCAAAGAGGACAGCGACCACAAGGTCGCGTACGGGGGCGACTTGAAAGTGGACTGCGTAGCCACTGGGCTGCCCAACCCGGAGATCTCCTGGGGCCTCCCCGACGGGAGTCGGCTCAACTCCTTCATGCAGTCGGACGACGGCGGCGGGGGCCGCGCCAAGCGCTACGTGCTGTTCAACAACGGGACCCTCTACTTCAACGAGGTGGGCCCACGGGAAGAAGGCGACTACACCTGCTTCGCCCAGAACCAGGTGGGGAAGGACGAGATGAAAGTACGCGTCCAGGTGGTGGCCAGGCGCACGGCCGTGCGGAGCAGGACGCCCTCCGTGGTGCAGGTGTCCTACGGGGACCGGGTCACTGTGGCCTGCGAAGCCCCAGGCGAGCCGGTGCCCAGGGTGACGTGGCTGTCCCCCACCAGCAAGGCGATCCCCACGAACTCGGAGAAGTACCACATTCACCCAGACGGAACTCTGCTCATCCAGAAGGCCCAGCGCTCGGACAGCGGGAACTACACCTGCGTGGTCAGGGGCAGCGCGGGCGAGGCCCGGAAGACGGTGTGGGTCCACGTCCGCGTCGAGCCTCCAACCATCAACGGGAGTCCGGACGCCATCACCACGGTGCGCGAGGTCGCCCCAGCCGGGAGCCGCAAGTTCATCCACTGCAAGGCCCGGGGCGTCCCGACACCTCGGGTGCTGTGGGCCTTCCCCGAGGGCGTGATCCTGCCCGCCCCGTACTACGGCCACCGCGTCACCGTGCACAGCAACGGCTCGCTGGACATCAGGAGCCTGAGGAAGAGCGATTCGGTGCAGCTGCAGTGCATCGCGCGCAGCGAAGGTGGCGAGGCGCGGATGATCGTGCAGCTGACCGTGCTGGAGCCGCTGGAGAAGCCCATCTTCCACGGCCCCGAGAGCGAAAAGATCACAGCCACGGCCGGCCACACCATCAGCCTCAACTGCTCGGCTGCGGGGAGCCCGCCGCCCACCCTGTTGTGGGTCCTGCCCAACGGCACGGAGCTGCGGGCCGGCCAGCGGCTGCACAGGTTCTACCACAGGGGCGACGGCATGATGCACATCACGGGCCTGGCCCCCGAGGATGCGGGAGCCTACCGCTGTGTGGCCCGCAACAGTGCCGGCCACTCGGAGAGGTTGGTGGCCCTGAGCGTGGGGCTGCAGCCCACGCTGAGCAAGCAGTATCACAACCTGGTGAGCATCATCAACGGGGAGAGCCTGCAGCTCCACTGCAGCCTCCCGGGCGCCCAGCAGCCTGGCCGCTTCTCATGGACGCTGCCCAATGGCGTGGCCCTGGACAGTCCCCAGGCGCTGGGGCGCTTTTCGGTCCTGGACAACGGCACCCTCACCGTGCGGGAAGCCTCCGTGTTCGACAGGGGCACCTACACGTGCAGGGCGCAGGCGGAGCATGGCTCCTCCTCCTCCTCCTCCTCCTCCGTGCTGAGCATTCCGGTCATTGTCATTGCTTACCCTCCCCGCATCACCAGTGAGCCCACGCCTGTCATCTACACCCGGCCAGGCAGCACAGTGAAGCTGAGCTGCATGGCCATGGGGATCCCCAAGGCTGAGGTATCCTGGGAGCTGCCAGATAAGTCGCATCTGAAGGCTGGTGCCCAGGCTCGTCTCTACGGAAACAGGTTCCTGCATCCTCAGGGCTCCCTGACCATTCAGCACGCCACCCAGAGAGATGCCGGCTTCTACAAGTGCAAGGCCCAAAACATCCTGGGAACAGACTCCAAAACGACCTACATCCACATCTACTGAGACGCCTGCGAGACACAGCAAGGCGCACGGCAGGGTGACTCTTTAGCAAGGGACCCCAGTGCGCCATTTTGTAAGGAAGCCCAGGGCTCAGGCTTTGGAAGCTGCAAGGATTCCCAGGGCACATTGGCCCCTGGTGGGTTCCATGTTGGGGTTCGCCTTGAATTGAGCTTCTCGGATTTCAGGTGGAGGCCAACTTTGATTTAAGTTCCGTAGGTCTGAAGTTGGAGTTTAGTTCCTTGTGTTTCAAGATGAGGCAAATCTCGACTTCAGCTCCTCATGGTAGAAGTAGAGGTCAATCCTGAATGAAGCTCTTAGGTTTCAAGGTGAAATCTTGACGTAGGCTTCTCGTGGTGGAAGTGAAGGTTGACCATGACTTCTTGGGTTTCAAGCTGAGGTTGACCTTGACCACCTTGGATTTGAGGAGAAGTTCAAGCATGAGTTAAGCTCCTTGACTTAGAAGTTGAGGTCAACCGAGGCTCCTTGGGCTTCAGGAGAAGATCAACCATGAGTTGAGCTCCCTGAGTTTGACGTGGAGGTCAGTCTTGACTCAGGTTCTTGGATTTCAAGTTGAGGTCAACCTCAATCTAGGCTCTTGTGCTAGAGTTGAGATCAGCGTTGACCTCAAGTTCCGTGTGTTTCCAGATGAGACTGACTTTGGCCTGGGCCCCTTAGGGTTTCAGGTTGGGCTTCATGTTGACCTGGGGTCCATGACCTAGGAAGTTCTAGAGACACCTGGAAGGAGGACTCCCTGAGAACTCGCCTCCATGTTTACATCGTACCACAAACTCTCGCCTGGCATTTCCTCGGACCCGAGATCCAGCTGCAATTTCTGCTTTTTGCAAACATCACACAGCTGTCCTCACCAGCCTCTGCAGCGTACTTCAGCAGCATTTTTCTGAAAACAGTCACGTGAACAGTGCCTGCACACCCCACGGAAGACCCCTCACCTGGCTGGCTCACCCCTCACAGCTGTCAACTGATGGAACATTCTAGAGCAACTCATCTCTCCCACTATGTCTTCTGCAGCTACAAAATGTGTCCGATAAGGTCTTAGGAGCACAGTGATTGTTATTTTTGTTTAAATCCCCAGTTCCACGCTTTACAGCTCCCATTCTAGATGAAAGAAGTCTGTCTTCCTGGAAGTCACTTTTTATATACTGTTTTATATAAATATATAAATATATATTTTTTCTTTCTAATGAGACAATGAGACAGAAAGGGAAACACTCTCTATCTCATTAAAAAACAATAAATTATTGGTCTTTACAAGACTTGAGTACATTACAGCACATATGGAAATGCAATTAATAAAAAATTCCCCAAATTTCTCTCTAATCTCCTTCAAATTCAATAACCACTATTATGTTCCTCCCCCCCCCCCAGGCTGGGATATTGAATATCCTCAGATGTAGAATTAATCTTGAAGACTGTGGTCTGGGATATGCGGGGTCTGGATGGGGGAACGAGAGGAAACAGAGAGCTAAGTCGCGGCCTCTCAAAATCGAACCCGGAAGCTTCCAGAGCAGCCTGGCAGCTTCTCTGTGGCATGGGAGCGCTGCGCGTGGCCGGCCAACTTCCCTCCCTGTGCCTCGGGCCTCATTCCGTGCTCACGCGCAGCCAGAGAGCTGTCACTCTCACGGCTGCTTTCCTGTCTTCTGGAGGTCCTCTTGCTGTCCATTTGATAATAAAATAATATTTTCCAAATACCCATGTGATATTTCTGATGGCTGAGGAATGTGGGGTGCAGATGAGAGCAGCTGGAAACGAGGTCCTGGCCCCCCACATGTCAGTGATTCTGTTCCCTACACGTTAACAGCCGAGGAAACAGACTCAAAGGGTCAGCTGAGGGACTACGAGGAGCTCTTTGCCAGGACCGCAAATAACTGGACACAAGTCCAAGAACCGGGCAGACAATTTGAGGATGGCAGGAAGTGTTGCTGGGACACCTTCAGGAATTTCCCCTCCCCCTTCCCCTCCCCGACCCTCAACCCTACTTCCTTCCCTTCCCTTTGCTCTTCCTGCCCTTCCCTTTCCTGTTCCTTTTCCCCTTTCCTTCCTGTCCCCTCCCCCACCTTCTTCCCTTTCCTTTCTCTCTTTCTTTGGCCAAAACACACCTGGGGGTACACACACCGGCATTCCCTAAATATGCAAAATTATCCCCTCTTTGCTTCCTCCGAGAAGAGGAGAAACAGCAAACTTAAGACACATGTGAGGGAGGCCATGTGAACATTTCAACAAAGGCAATGTTTGCTGATTATCCACAAGACAGAAGCTGAAATGAAGGAGTGCTCATTTATTCCCACAACCCAGGAGGACACAGCCTGTCGTCCATCCATCCACCCACCTATCCATCCACCACCCACCCACCCATCCACCCACCCATCCATCCATCCACCCACCCACCCATCCACCCACCGACCCATCCATCCATCCACCCATCCACCCACCCATCCACCAGCCACCCATCCATTCACGGA